AGTCATATAAACATATAAACCGCTCAATTGTATGGTAATGACAACACGTGCACGAGTACGAACTCTTAGTACCGTGTCCAAATTGCACAATAAGGTGGATTTGCACTCCAAATGTCTTATAATGTTGATAGACAAGTGATTCAATGATTGGTTTAGTCATATAAACACATAAACTGCTTAATGGTGTAATAATGACAAGACGTGCACGAGTAAGAACTCTTAGTACGAAGTCCAAATTATACAATAAGGTGGATTTGCACTCCAAATGTCTTGTAATGTTGATAAATATGTGATTCAATGATTTGTTTCATCATATAAACACATAAACCGCTCAATTGTGTGGTAATGACAAAACGTGCACGAGTACTAACTCTTAGTACCGTGTCCAAATTGCACAATAAGGTGGATTTCCACTCCAAATTTCTTGTAATGTTAATAGACATGTGATTCAATGATTTGTTTAGTCATATAAACACATAAACCGCTCATATGTGTGATCATTACAAAACGTGCACGAGTACGAACTCGTAGTACGAATTCCAAATTATACAATAAAGTGGATTTGCACTCCAAATGTCTTGTAATGTTGATAAACATGTGATTCAATGATTGGTTTCGTCATATAAACACATAAACCGCTCAATTGTGTGGTAATGATAAGACGTGCACAAGTACGAACAATTAGTACCGTGTCCAAATTGCACAATAAGGTGGATTCGCACTCCAAATATCTTGTAATGTTGATAGACATGTGATTCAACGATGGGTTTAGTCATATAAACACATAAACCGCTTAATTGTGTCATAATGACCAAACGTGCACTAGTACGAACTCTTAGTACCGTGTCCAAATTGCACAATTAGGTGGATTTGCACTCCAAATGTCTTGTAATGTTAATAGACATGTGATTCAATGATTCGTTTTGTCATATAAACACATAAACTGCTCAATTGTGTGATAATTACAAAACGTGCACGAGTACGAACTCTTAGTACCGTGTCCAAATTGCACAATAAGGTGGATTTGCACTCCAAATGTCTTATAATATTTATAGACAAGTGATTCAATGATTGGTTTAGTCATATAAACACATAAACCACTTAATTGTGTCATAATGACAAGACGTGCACGAGTCCGAATTCTTAGTACCATGTCCAAATTTCACAATACGGTGGATTTTCTCTCCAAATTTCTTATAATGTTAATAGACATGTGATTCAATGATTCGTTTAGTCATATAAACACATAAACCGCTCAATTGTGTGATAGTTAGAAAACGTGCACGAGTACGAATTCTTAGTACCGTGTCCAAATTGCACAATAAGGTGGATTTGCACTCCAAATGTCTTATAATGTTGATAGACAAGTCATTCAATGATTGGTTTAGTGATATAAACACATAAATCGATTAATTGTGTCATAATGACAAGACGTGCACGAGTACGAACTCTTAATACCGTGTCCATATTGTACAATAAGGTGGATTCACACTCCAAATATCTAGTAATGTTGATACACATGTGATTCAATGATTGGTTTAGTCATATAAATACATAAACCACTTAATTGTGTCATTAAGACAAGACGTGCACGAGTACGAACTCTTAGTACCGTGTCCAAATTGCACAATAAGGTGGATTTGCACTCCAAATTTCTTGTAATGTTAATAGACATGTGATTCAATGATTCGTTTAGTCATATAAACATATAAACCGCTCAATTGTATGGTAATGACAACACGTGCACGAGTACGAACTCTTAGTACCGTGTCCAAATTGCACAATAAGGTGGATTTGCACTCCAAATGTCTTATAATGTTGATAGACAAGTGATTCAATGATTGGTTTAGTCATATAAACACATAAACTGCTTAATTGTGTAATAATGACAAGACGTGCACGAGTAAGAACTCTTAGTACGAAGTCCAAATTGTACAATAAGGTGGATTTGCACTCCAAATGTCTTGTAATGTTGATAAAATGTGATTCAATGATTTGTTTAGTCATATAAACACATAAACCGCTTAATTGTGTCATAATGACCAGACGTGCACTAGTACGAACTCTTAGTACCGTGTCCAAATTGCACAATAAGGTGGATTTGCACTCCAAATTTCTTGTAATGTTAATAGACACGTGATTCAATGATTTGTTTAGTCATATAAACACATAAACCGCTCATATGTGTGATAATTACAAAACGTGCACGAGTACGAACTCGTAGTACGAATTCCAAATTATACAATAAAGTGGATTTGCACTCCAAATGTCTTGTAATGTTGATAAACATGTGATTCAATGATTGGTTTCGTCATATAAACACATAAACCGCTCAATTGTGTGGTAATGATAAGACGTGCACGAGTACGAACAATTAGTACCGTGTCCAAATTGCACAATAAGGTGGATTTCCACTCCAAATATCTTGTAATGTTGATAGACATGTGATTCAATGATTGGTTTAGTCATATAAACACATAAACCGCTTAATTGTGTCATAATGACCAGACGTGCACTAGTACGAACTCTTAGTACCGTGTCCAAATTGCACAATTAGGTGGATTTGCACTCCAAATGTCTTGTAATGTTAATAGACATGTGATTCAATGATTCATTTTGTCATATAAACACATAAACTGCTCAATTGTGTGATAATTACAAAACGTGCACGAGAACGAACTCTTAGTACGTGTCCAAATTGTACAATAAGGTGGATTTGCATTCCATGTATCTTGTAATGTTGATAGACATGTGATTCAATGATTGGTTTAGTCATATAAACACATAAACCGCTTAATTGTGTCATAATGACAAGACGTGCACGAGTACTTCTTGAGCTTCAGAGCATATCAATGGATTGATTAACATCTCATCTTCAAAACAAACCATCAAACACAAATTTTCATCTAGCAAATTGATAGAACCGTGCCTCCAAAGTTGAATACTTGAACACGGAAAATGACGGACAATTTTCTGTTTCTTTCACGGAATTCGATTTGGCCTCTTTGACGATCAATCCTAGATTTAATTTGATCGATTCCAGGATTTTATCAGGCTCCCCCTCTTCAAAAAGCTTTGCCCTCAAAGCTGGTGTCTTTCCCTTCTTAAATTCGTCACAGAACTGCTCCCAAATTGGGTCAAAAGAAGGTTGTTACAACTCCAATTTCTGCAAAACGAAAACAGTGTTCTTGGGCAGCAGAATTGGGGCTTTTTGATCCAAGGATTCCCAGACCAATTTATTGCTTCCATAAGCTTCGCCATATGCCCAATCGACTTTCTGAACCGGTCCTGTGTCTCGAATCGTCACCATCGCGCCGACCCAGCTCCCCGTCCTTTCCCGCCGTCGTCCGTTTTCAAATGCCCAAAACCCATAATAGTTGATTGTGATTTGCGCGTTCCTACCTCAGGCATCTCTAGCTCGAATAGTTCGTCCCAATAGCTTCTGGGCATAGTCTTGATTGATTCCTCGTTGGTCATTGGCGTCGATTCACACTCAATCGCTATATGCCCAAATGAGTTTTGGGAGTTGTTCACCGTTGTGAACATAGGGGTTTTTGCGCGAATTAAATCTTCAATTTCACGTTCGTTCCTCTCCAATGAATCTACCGAAGACGTTCTAGGGGTCGAGGGGAAGGTATAGGCTTTGTTGGTTGGTCTCGACCCATCCCCCATAGCTCCCACCAATTCGTTCTCTCTCATGCTCTGCTCCGCGGAAACATGGCAGAGTGACGGAGAGCTTGTCGATGGAGGCGTTCGATCAACGTCATCCCGATCTGGAGCTTCCTCTTGACTATTCTCCATTCCCCCAACCTTGTGGAAGACTTTTGTGGCGATCTCCGGTCTCCACGCTCCCTCTTCTTCATCGTCAAGGCGGCGTAGCGCGTAGAGCTCTGTTTTGCGGAAACATAACAGGGAACGTTCTGGGCAGTGGGTTGAGGTAAAAAAATCTTCCTTTTGAAGCTTCCTGAAGCTCATGAAACTGAAGCCCACTCGTCTTTGAACCCACAACTTAGGTTGAACGCTCTCTCCCGCATTCCTACTCTCCTCCATCTGCTTCAAATCGCCATAAACTTCATCCGGAGAAAGAGGTTTCAATACAAATTTCTTGCCTTGATGCTTAACTTTGTAACAATTTGTTCGACCATCCTGGGAAACTTCACGATCGAATTGCCAACGCTTCCCCAACATCATATGAACACAATTCATCGGCACAACGTCACAAGTTACCTTGTCTTCGTAGCTCCCGATTTGAAAACAAACCAAAGTTTGTTTCATTACATTGATCGTACCGTGTTCGTTGATCCAGCTGAGTTGGTAAGGCTCAGGGTGCCTTTGCGTCATCAATTCGAGCTTTTGGACGGCGTCTAGGCTGATGATGTTCGCACAACAACCTCCATTGATGACAAGCGAAAGTAATTTTCCGTTGACAAAGCATCGACTGTGAAATAAAAGGTCTTGCTGCTCGTCGGATTCTCAATGCTGAGCTGGAGCTGCTGGCCGCTTCTCTTGGCCACAAATTTACAGATTCCTTGCCTCTCTTCTGCCTTCTTCCATCACGTTACCCTTGGCGAAATCGAATCACGAACTCTTGAAGTCTTCGTCTCTCTCTAATATGAGCCTCCTTGCATGATACTTCATCTCTAGTAACAAACTCCACGTGCTGAACAATCACACCATAATCTCTCATTTGAATTGGCTTGCGTTGAGAAGAGCTTGGACAGTGCTTAAAATCTTATTTTGATATTGGTGATGTACTTGGGACATCGATGATGCCCATGGACGAATTTTGGTGATGTTCAATGACATCTCCCATATCAAAATCTACTCCAATAGGGAAAAACTTGTCTTCAACTTGTAAAACATTTTCCTTTGTCTCCATATCTTCATTGTCATAGACATCCTTGGGTAAAATTCCATCTTCAATGGCCAACTCAACATGATTTGTAGCTTCTTTAATAAGTGACTCTTTTGGACCCTCCTTTACATTTATCTTATCATTATCATAGTCCATTATCATGTTGGTGATCATCTTCTATTTTAAGTTCTGGTTCTTGTTGAGAAGGCATCAAAGCTTGTGCAATTTCTCCACAAGTAGCTATAACAAGTCCATCCACAAAAACCTTTTCTTTCGCTTCTTCTTCGACTTCCTCTTCAACATGGGAAGTAATCATATTCATGGTAGAATCTTCCTTCTCATCATTGACTTCACCTTCTACTACAACTTCCTCACCACGAATTGAGCTTGAAGAATCATGACTTAAATCAATATCAACGGATCTTGCACTGGCAGCCTCTTGCTCTTGCACCAGACTTTCGTCCGCTTCCATTAGCTCCCTTTGACGCTTCTTCTCATTGTCACTTTGTTCATTGTGTATGTTCTCGACATTTTCGTTCTCCTAACTGGTAAATGTCACATTTGGTCACTGAGATTACGAAATCATGTCATGTTTAGTCACTAGAAAAAATTAATATCAATTTTAGTCACTCGAATTACTGAAACGTGTCACATTTAGTCACTCTCCCGTTAGTTTCTGTCCAACTCCATTAACGAAGTTGGACGAAGGCTAACGGAGAGTGACTAAATGTGACATGTTTCAGTAATTTGAGTGACATTCATAAATAAATAAAAAGTGTAATTCGAGTGACCGGAGTTGGACAGAGGCTAACGGGAGAGTGACTAAATGTGACCTGTTTCAGTAATTCGAGTGACCAAAATTGATATTAATCTTTTCTAGTGACTAGACATAACACGATTTAGTAATCCTAATGGCCAAATGTGGCATTTACCCTTTTTTTAATAAGATAAAAGATTTATATGTTTATTTTTTTTTAATGCTTACATGGGAATTGCATATTGAATTTAATAAAATGAAAGCTTGCATTATTGCAATTGACACTTGCATCCATGCAATTGAAAATACAATTGCATTTTCATTGCCACCTCAGTTTGCAATTCAATATGATAATTCATTGCCACATCACTTTGCAATTCAATATGATAATTTGGTACGGATGCTTATAAGGGTGATTGTGAGAAAATAATTCCCTCCCCCCATTGGAGCCATTCTTTCCCCATTTTGACATTATGAAACTCCATTGGAGTTTGTCTTAGTAGGTTTTCCTGGCTTAACACGCACATGCAAGAGCACAGAAGGCAGACTTCCACACAGCCCCAGTGAAGAAAAGGAAAAGCAGAAGTACCAAGTGATTAGAAAGACTGGATGCTGGCGAGATTTCCATGCAAATGAAATTACAACAAATGGGCCTGCTTTCCATCCAGATATAACTGCTCTCTTATTTTCTATTCTCAAACCATTGATAGGGAGTGAATCATTACTCTCTGTATCCTCCACTATTTACAGCAAAGGCAATAATGTACTCTTTTCCCTCTTCCTACATAGAAAACGTACACTACAAACTGAAAACCAAAAGTATCCACTGAAGGAACCCTCTATCTTTCTCTTCTTTTCCAATGTAAACCAATGGTTCAAGTTTGAGCAGAACTCTTCCCATGTTCTATCACGACCTGTAATTCATTGGTTTAGTGATCTTTCCAGTAACTCATCAAGTACTCTGTAAACAAAGCAGCATAAAAGAAATACACTCCCCACCTACACCTAACAAACTACTACGAAGATGGTACACGCATCAGGACTAAGGGAAACACCCCCACCCCCCAGTCCCTCCTCGAGGTAAATAAATTATTATCGCGCAGACTGAAACGTCGTCGCCATTGTACTCTAGGGCTACAAAAATTGGCAGAAATTAGTCATCTACACTACTTCTCAACTTCCTCGAATCTCTCGTGTTCGAGTGAGCCACCAGGGACTCATAAATATCCGTGGCGGTGGGACGATCTGCAGGATTTCCCTCTGTGCATCGCCGAAACAAATTAACGAGGAACCTCAATATCTCACGTTCGCTGGATTCATCCATATCTGACTCGGGCTTTTCCTTCTGTGCAGGAACATTCATCAACCCCAGCCTCTCAAGCTCAGCAGGTAATGGCGGCCGCGCACCACACTGTTCAAACAAGTAAAACATGGGTCACCTTCATAGCAGCACAAAATACCATCAAGCATTAAAAGAAGGGTCGCAGATTGGGTGTGTTTGCTTCAGCTAAAAATATAACTAGCTTACAAAGAAATTGGCTTAACAGCAAAAAGCCTAAAACAATTAACTCTTTTTTTCACAAGAATATAACATTTTTTCAATCTAACTAGGTCTAATAATTAGTCACCCTAAATCCCACAAAATGTTTAATCTAGCCAACTCTACTATAAAATTCCATTCTTTGCACCCTAAAGAGAAAATTGTGTTCTCAAAGTATGCACGTTAGAGTCGTTTTCCAAAACTCACCAAGTCCATTACTAAAAAGACCATCAACCAGTTCATACAAAAAATATAAACCGCCCTATCGATTACATTTTTACCACTAAAGATCATCGCATACCTTGTCAGCTCAACTTTTCTACGATCCAAACATACACTACTTATGCTTCAATTTTACTTAACTTACAAACAAAAGGGGGATTTTTTTTAGCCAAAGCAAACAGACACCCAGTATGTACCTCGAGCAGTTCATGGATGTGCAGCTCAGGCATGTCGGAATAAGGTACTCGGAGGGTCAACAATTCCAAGAGGAGACATCCATATGACCAAATATCTACCTCCTGCAAACAGGCAACAAATAGGCTTAGATTTCATGTCCCATAGTTTCACTATACAGACATAAAAAAATCTCAGGTGGAAAGGACGATTACAATACCAGGCCATATGTGGTCTGTTCATGCATTGCTCGTAGAACTTCTGGAGCCATCCATCGAGGAGTACCAACACATACACTGGGAGGAACTACCCCTCTATGAGCAATACAGCAAGTATGTAAGGATGACCTCAGAGGAACAGCTCTGTCAAAATCACATAGCTTCACAACAGGCATAATACCATCATCCACTCTTTCGCCCTCAAAATCCATAAGTATGTTTTCACTCTTTATGTCACGGTGGATAATGTGCTTCGAGTGCAGCTCTGCCAATGCGCAAGCAACATTCTGAGCAATACACAACGCTATGTCCACTGGTACATGCTGATCCCCTGCTTCTGATACCTTCTCCAGATAGTTCTGTCCAAATCCCAAGGGAATGATACCACTTAATAAGCAAATAAGAAAACAGTTCGATCAAATCCACGAATGTGCATGTACAAGAATGAGACATCGTTGAAAAGAAAACACTACCTTCAAGGATCCACCTTTAACATACTCCATAAAAATTGCTGACTGTAATACTCGGCGCTCTGGTCTCCCTTCTTCAAGGATCCATTTTGAGGATATTTGATGCCCGTATATCTTAATTATGCAAGGATGTTGCAGGGCGCCTAACATTCTCACCTCCCCAAGACAACTGTGCTCAAAGTTCCTGATCTCATTCGTCGAGCTTCCATGTACCTCCAACGTTCGCACCTGCAGCATCCAATAATCGGGGAAACTTTCTCAAGTTTATGGCCAAAAATAGCAGTATGGGAGTTTAGCAACTAGAAAGTAGATAGCATTGAGAGATACACATCTCGAGATTTCCTAAATCTATGAAACTGGGAGGAAGAAACCTTTTTCTTTTCGCCTATGGACATACCAAGAGAACTGGGAATGGGAGAGAATGTAAACCTTTTATTATTTTATTTCTTACGATTTTTTTGTGAATGCAAGCCAACTGGGAATGAACTAAGAGAGGTAATAGGGTGACAAAGGAAAAAAAGAAAAACAGAACTTTAGCCACGTACCTTGGCTACTGCTTCAACTGATTCTAGCTTGCATGGCATGAGAGTGCTAGCAGCAGTTTTTTCTAACTCATCGCAAGTAGAGAGAGAAGGGAAGGAACAACCAGGAAGAGGGAAGTTCTCACTTGAAAGAGATACAGTGGTCCGACTGAGAGGAATGTACCTGTATCACAAAACAAAGCTATCAGTAACAACAATCAAACATGTCATGCCGCAATGTAAATTCTGGGATCAACTTATTTACGTTTAGTATTTATTTAACTATTAGGTTCAAATATCTAAAAGTAATCTACTCCATCTACTAGGCACACGATCTAATTCAGCCAAAATTAACCAAAGAGTACTGTAAGATCCACATATCCACGCTTCCATAGCAGTATACAGGAGTTTTACAGTGAATATCCCACAAAGAGCATTAATATATAAAGATCGGCACAGCCAATTGAGGTAATAAGATGGACCTGCAGAAGTATTCAGGATCCGTCTCCTCTCTGATGTCAAATGGGGAGCAAGCATCCACTACCATGCGGACTAAGGAACCACCCCTTTTGAGAATAACATGATTCCAAGCATGGGGTGTGAAATCCAGGTAACCCCTGACAAGTTCACAAGGTATTGGAGGATTCATTCTATCACAGAGATACTGCACACAAAAAACTCGGTTTCAGATTCCCATAAATCGACACAGAAGAAATATGGTATTATACACAAGTGAAAGCTAGTAGAAGATCACCTTCATCAACAGGGCCCTATGGCGGCAAACTCCAAACTGCAGATTACCTAGAGGAACTACAACCGAATTTCGTCTTGCTTTTATGGAATACAAACATCTCTCGTTGATATCTGTAAGATTGATTTCTCCTGCACTATCTGAGAGCTGCCTAGAATTTTCGCTACTCCTAGCACTGTCACGGTTTCCAGTTGAACAAGTGCAAACAAAAGGTTTCTTGTAGTTCGAGCCAGACACAGATTTCCTTGTTCTTGCAACAGTGGCACTTTTATCACTGCCACCAAAATGATCGGAGACAAAGAGCGCCAGATAAGATGCAATATGAAGATCATCAACTGCAGAATTAGCCCTCTCTTGGGAGGAAAATTTTAACTTCTTCAAGCGAGACACCAAAGCTTGGGCTGAGAGTACTGTAGCATCTAAAACCTCATCTTGCTTCCTGAAATGGATGGGGCACCCGCATTAAATCAAACAGCCTTAATTCTAAAGGTAAGCACAAAAACATTGTATCTATAGGTCACCTGTCTAAAAGAATGACCTCACGGGTGTCAAGAGGCAAAATCTCCTCATAATTGCTCAAAGGCATGAACGGCCTGTCCCGTCCAGCATCATAAAACCCGTCAGCCATGTTATCCTCAATGCTACAAAATGAAAGGTCATTATACTTTCGGGACAAACTCAAGCTGTCTCCCGCGGTTCTGCTACACTTGCACGGTTTGGGATTATCAAGATCCCCATCGGAATGTCTCTTAGCCTTGCTAGAGATTTTAGAGTCCTGATACGAATCTTTATCTTTTTCAACTTCATCAAGCACACAACTTTCGTCCTCCTCATCTCTACTACTGGACTCACAATTAGATGTTGAATTTTCCGTGCAAACTTCTTTGGCGGATATTTTATCAAACCCGAGACTTTGTGATTCACCGCAATCTCCATCAACAGAAAGTACTACTCCATCTCCTTCCTTGTCGTCATCATTGCCTATGATTTCTAATGAATTGTCTTCATGAATTTCATCAGTGACATACAGCTTGGGATTATCAGCCACACTAGGGATTGATAAATCAAGAGACCCTTCACCTTTCCACTTCCTGCTGCTATTCAAACGTTCTTGACGAGCTTTCTGCTGCAAATAATGGCGGCGCTTCCACCGCTTGCTTGACCTTCGGGATGCAAAACATCGTCCACTTGATGAATGTCCATTCAATAGACTTGCTGAAGCATGACGAGTAACTGCAAAAATTCATAAAAAAACAAAATCAGTTCAGAAGGCAGTACGGCATTTCAGGGAACAAAGACAAAAGATTGAAAAGTTATTACTGTTACAAGCAATGTTGTTCTCATCCTTGCTGATGGAGGTCTCATATACATCCATTTCAACAGATGAACTGATGAAATCATCATTTGAAAGGTCCTTTCCATTTCCTTCCAAGTTGCAGGATATCCAGGAAGGTATCTGACAGCAACTGAGAAGCTTGTTGTACTGGAATGAAAGCAACACAACAATCGCGGAACAAGTTAGGGACCATGACAAGAGAAGATACAAAATAGAAATATCTCAAATCACGTAACGGAAGACCACAATATCATCCATTTCCAAGACAAAGAACTGTCTAAAGCCTTAAAGACAGCATTATATACACCAACTGCAGCATGTTCTACAGGATCATATTGCCATGTCGAAGCTATAAAAGTCATGTCCAATGTAAGCATGCCCAAAAGATATAAGCCTGAACAACACATATTACATACACCAACTGAGGGATGTTATATGAGATAGCAATGCCATGCCAAAATGTTTAAAAATCTGAAAGCAAATACACAAGAGGAGTGCAACAAGCCCATTAGGACATCAAATAAATCCATTATGAGGAACAAAACAAGTCTGCATCAAAACCCAAATTGCCAAGTCGGTGTTAACCAACAAAAATGCCAATTGAAGAGTATAAAACAACTTCCACCTTGTGGTCTTCGGCACGACATGGTAGCTACCAGGGATCATTTAAATCAAATAAAAAGACCAACTTCACAAACATTTATCTTCTCAAACATGTACCTGAAGATTCAAGTAGAGGAGATTCTGCATCAAACAAAGGTCAAGATATCCCACTGAAGTCAGCCTGTTGTTTGATAGGTCCAGGAGCTCCAATTTTTGAAGAAACGACAAACCGATGGGTAGTTCCACAAGTTTGTTGTTAGCAATCTTAAGTGATACCAAAGTACTTAATTGACTTATTGCAAACGGCAGACATTTTAACTTATTGAATGAGAGATCTAAGTACTCCAGCTTACTTAAGCAACCAATTTCTGGAGGAAGATATCTGCATCATGGGATAAAGAAACAAAATGAAAGAATTGCATCAGGATTTTTGCATAAGACCCTGTGGCATAACGTACCAAATGTGACCCCAGAAATCTGTGAAGTAAAGCACAAAATAATCGCTATTTGGTATTGACTACTCTATGCTTAATGGTACGAGTACTTAATTAGGGATTATTTATGTCTTTGTGTAAAAAAAAACTCAGTATTTAGACGTTCTCGTACAGATAAGATATAACTGTGATTCAAGCAAGATATAAAAATTTCCCATTGGAGGAAAACAAACGACATGTTTCAGGTATGAGTTCCCCCCAAAGGCCAACGAGCATGAAACAAGATATCCTGTAATGGCAAGAACAGAACCCACCAAAGACTCAAGCCTACTACATCACGTAGTCAAAACACTTTCTAGTTTCTAGTTAATATCACCTATGGAGCACGCTACTTGAACATCATATAAATTTGTGCATCTACATATACACAAAACTCATTCCATCCACCGTCTCCAAAGACTTTCACGCTATAAATATAGCATTCCACCTCATGAACCCCTCCCTCTTATACAAACCAGGAGTAAACAGAATCCATGAAAAAAGTAGCAGAAGGTCAGCAATTGAGTTGGTATCTTAATAGCAACTTGCAGTGTTCAGGAACCCCAATTAACTAAATCGAACATAAAATGTTCACATTCGAAAAAGGAATGGGATAGTTACCGTATAGAGAAATGACACACGGAAAGCTTAGTCAAGCACTTAAGGCCAGCAATCTCGCTCAAAATCGTCAAAACAGAAGGCCTTGGCGGCACTTTAGACAGCTCAAGCTCCTTCAAGCCTCTTAATTTACCCAAACTCAATCCATTCAGGCCGGGCGACGACAATTTCACCTGCAGACACTCCAAGCCCACCAATTCCCCAAACTCCGCCGGAAACAAATTCACCTCGTTCCCGAAAAACTTAAACGTCCTGAGCCTGTTGAGCCTCCGAATCGTCCTCGGCACCAAGCTGAAATCATTCTTGTACACATACAAACCCTTCAGGGAATCGTCAACTTGATGAAACAAATCCAGCTCCAAGCTTCTCCCGGAAACATCATGAACCAGCTCCTCGTCCGCATTACTTCCGCTAGTGGTGGCTCCGGCGGCCGAGCCAGCTCCGGTAAAAACCGACGCTTCCGACAAGGGGTTTCCCCCGATAACCGACTGCTCCGAAGTGACTTCCCCGGAATCGGACTGCGGCATTTGAGTAATTGGCAGAGGGGGTGACTAATTGCCGTGACCTAGCTGAGAAACAAAGGAGGAGGTGTCCGCGGGGTCTTTATGCGGAGACGACGGCGAAACGGAGAAAGATCTCTTTGTAGCTGTTTGGCCGCAAGGACATAATCAGCGAGGAACAGGAAGAATAGAAACGATAACGATGATGGAATTGGAAACAAGAGCGGGAGAGAGAGGAAAAGGCTTGCCCCGCTCTCCCAAAAACCCTAGAACCTAGAGAGGGAGGTAGACTGTTATTATTATTTTAGAGAACACAGGGTAATCAGGACATAATCAGCGAGGAACAGCCGACAGGAAGAATCGAAACGATAACGGGGATGGAATTGGAAACAAGAGCGAGAGAGAAAGAGAGAGAGGAAAAGGCTTGTCCCCGCTCCCCCGAAAACCCTAGAACCTAGAGAGGGAGGGAGACTGTTATTATTATTTTAGAGAACACAGGGTAAACCAGGACATAATCAGCGAGGAACGGCCGACAGGAAGAATCAAAACGATAACGAGGATGGAATTGGAAACAAGAGCGGGAGAGAGAAAGAGAGAGAGGAAAAGGCTTGTCCCCGCTCCCCCGAAAACCCTAGAACCTAGAGAGGGAGGGAGACTGTGTTAGAAACCGAACAGAAAATTTAGGGTTACCGATCTGACTGAGTCGCGGACTAGGTCGCTCTCTTTAAGACGTTCGCGGCACTGCCTCGTTATTCGCACAGCAGACTATCAGTTGGTCGCCTCCAGGATAAAACAACCACTCTTTTGATTTGCTCAGCGGTTTTGTGCGGAAAACCGTAGCTCTTTGAATCTCACTCTCTCTCGTGTTTCTGCTCTCTCATGTGTGTTTAGAGGGTCTGGGGCGTCTCCTATTTATAGGAGCAGAAAACCCAGAATATTCCCTCTTTCTTTGGGAATAAGTCATATTTTAATTAGGGAGATAATTACTCCCATAATTAAAATATAATCTATTAAGATAATTATTCCTAATTATCTCCATAATATTTCTTTTATTAATTATCCATCTTATTTCCGTATCTAGAAAGAATACTGGATAATTAATTCAATATAGCTTTCAAAGCTATTCATTCCCAACAATCCCCCACTTGAATAGTTTTGAAACTATCTCTGAGCATCAACAGATCCATAAGATCGGGCATAAACTAAGGTATTGCGAAGATTTGAACCTCAGCGTAGTGGTTACACTTCCGATTTCATAAGGGTGACTCGTAGTCTTGAAACCTATCTCAGACAATGTAGCACACCGGATCTTTTCATTGAGTGATATTCTCACATAGGCCGTGCGTTTATGGCCATGCACGTTATCCCGGTTTAGTGAACGCTCTAGCAACTTTGTGCCTCCAAAGTTCCATAGGGAGCGGCCCCACTCCCACATTCACATAGGTGAGTCTATCAGAAGTACCCCCAAAGTAAAGTACTTCACTCCACATAGAGTATAGATCTCATTAAGAGTTTAACTCAACCTCCAAGGCTTTCGGATTCATGCTTCACTATGCATGAACTTTTCTCAGTATTACTCATGACTTGTTATTACCCATTGAACCCGTTTCTTGGGAGCTCCCGTCTATCGGGTCGGGTTACCATCACTTGTAATCCATGGTTCGGTAGGCATAAGTCTCATACCTTCCGTGGTATTTTGGACTTTTCTCTCTAGGTAATCCTTTCGTCAAAGGATCAACTAGATTCTATTAGGATCTTACATGATCCACCCTCATTGCTCCTATCGTTAGGAGTTCTCTTACAGTACCGTGCTTACGACAAATTTGTCGTCTCTTTTCGTTCTAGAACCGGTTCCCTTCTATTGCAATAGCTGCGGTGCTATCACAATTAATCAACTACCGGAGGGATCAGTCTTTCCCATAAGGGAATCTCTAGTAGTGACCTTTTCAATCAACTTTCCTCTTTACTAGACATTGCTAGTTCTATCATTTCTGATTTCTTAGTTGATTGAGCCAGGATCGTTTACTTCTTAGACTTCCAAGACATAGCTTCTCTATCGATGTTTAAAACACAGCCTCTTGTTGTCTTAGAGTCATCTATAGGGTATTCTAATCTGCATCACTATACCCTACCAATACAGCAAAACCATTGATAACAAATACCAAAGTTTTTTTTTTTTTTTTGCTCTTTTAAGGTGTCTCATGACCCCTTTCAATAGCATTTCAATGCTTCATACTAGGACAATCCATAAGCCTGTCAAGTACCCCCACTAAATCGGGTCTCATGTTTACCAGCTGCCTCACGCAGACTGTCGATGCTACTATATTCTAACTATCTCAGTTTCTCACACTGTTTCCAGTGTTCTTTAATATTTACACTAGCATCATCAACCATTTATGCAGGTATACAACTTGTATTTCTTCTAGATCTTAACTATGTAGTTAGATTGATCTATAAAAAATCTCTTTCACTATCCTAGTCATTTGGATCTCTAAGCGAAACACTTGGATCCTTCTCATCAAGGTTCTCACTCAACATGGTTTTCACATTTATTCGTGTCATGAGTCTTTGCAACAAAGATCAACATGCCTTTTATGGTGCAAGTGTCGTTCTCAAGTTAGTAACAAATGCACTTGCCACTTCCATTTAAAATCCATGAGAGAGAACCATCCATCCATGCCATGATTTTTAAAGCCCGTTCCAAATCATACCATGATTTGTCTCACCATATACTTTAAAAGCATGTTCAGGAATAACAACCCTTTAGGTTGTCCCATGTATATTTCTTTATCTAACCCACCATTCACGAAACAGTTTTAACACTCCATGTGATGCACAAAACTACCAATCATGGATGTTATTCTAAATGTGGTGAATAGATATAAAAGAAATCCACAATTTTTCCTTCTTCACCTAAAGTTTTAACTAGGAGGCGATCATTATACTCATAAACTAAACCATCAAGTTTCAGTTTTTTCCTTTTAGGATTCCATTTATTACCTTGGCTTCATTGCCAGGAGGTAATTCTCAAAGATGCCAAATCTTGTTCGATTCTATCGATATATTACCAAAGGCTTTTCAACCAAGAGGTAACTCTACAAGATTTTTAGTCTTATTATACTCCAATAATTCCATTTCTTTAATAATGGATTCTCCCACAATTCTGCATCTTTATGGAAGTTCGAACTTCTAGCAGACTTGTAGGATCTTTCTTTCTTAGGGTGTAAATAACAAATTCATAACCAAAATCCTTTCGTGATTCATGGTTCATTTGTCTCATCTGAGTTCATACTCAGATTCATCACCCCACTAGTATTCTATTAGTAGGCAGGATATCACCCCCACTATTTCTTAATATAAATGGAATCTATTGGCATCAATGGTTTTCACAAACTAATGAGTATTTCGTTTCATAGGCTTATGTGTTTTACAATAACTTACACACTCATATGCTCTTCTACTTATCATGTCACTGATTCTCTAACGCTACCACATGCATGCCACATATCAAATAATTAGTGCAATCATAATGCAACTAGGCATTTCAAACTATTTCGAATAAATAGTTAGACAATCAGAGCACTCTAAAGAGCAATAAATCATTTATTGTCTTTTCCATCAAGTTTACCCATATCAACATAAATCAGATCTATTGAGTCTGATTTTCTAACCCCCATATTTTTATGGGTCATTTTGCTTGGATACAAAAATTTTATTTATCTCAAGCGTTCGAGAATAATATGGGATTGTGACTTTAGATATTCTAATTCTTTACAAGGATACACACGTCCCAAAAAAGAATCCATCTTAGATCGTCTATCACAGACATGCCTTGGGGCGCTAGTATCCAACAACCATTCTCCAGAGTTACCATTAAGGCTAACATCTGTCATCACCTAAGCGATTATTATTGCCAAATCCTCTTCTTTAATCAAGTTAACACAATACTATGTTAAACTTGCTCTAACACTTTCGTGTTATATGACCTAGTTTTTCTCAAATTTAATTGAGAAACATAGCGTCATTCTTAGAGAATTGTGTGACAATCTTATGGTTACCACGATGGATACCATTCTAATTGGTGTGGATCCGATTCGACTTGCTATTCTGATTCTTAAACCTTTAGAGTTCAGAATCGCACTAATGATTCACTTAGTACTAACAAAGGGTACTTCTTCCAAAATAAATATGAGCATACAACTCATTCCTCTAGCATTTTTACCACAAAATATGCAATCACATATGCTCCAGAGTGTGCAATCATGTAATCAAAATTACTATATTCCACAACATGTACCCAACTTGGTACTCTAATTATTTGAAGAAAGCATAATTCATCGTCAACATATGAAACCTCAATTCTACCCTCTTTAGAAGATTTAACAATTCCATGCATAAAGTTATATGACATAGGTTCTATATAATCATCATTTAATGACTCACGAGTGAGGTTAAGGTTATTACCTCTTTACTGAGTCACTCCCTTCTGATTCATAACGAATAGCTAGCTTTGGCTTAGCTTCCAAATTCGTGCCTCTTTTTGTCCTTTATAGAAAGCTTCTACATGTAAGAATTTGTTCCGAATCCTATCTCCCTTCACTCCGAAACCACAATTTGAATGGAGGCTTCATGAAAAACAAAGAACGACGCCAGGGCCAGGCGGAACTTGGACCGGGGCTCTCATTTCTTGGCCCGAAACGGAATTTAAATAAAAGGATCTGGCCTGTATGATTGCTGACCCAATAGCTTTCTTAGTTATGAGTCCCATTTCGGCCCAGCATTTTCTTCGCCGTTAGCCAAAGGCATTTGTCCTGGAGTCCAGCCCGGTGCAATACATTAGATGCGGTAGGGCCCCAGACCCGCCACCATTCTTCTTGATAGAAAAACCTGTCGGGTTAGAGCTGATCATGAATTCCATGACCTGCCCACTTCTCCCGTCTGGGCGCCACCGCCGTATCTTTCCATTATTTCCGCCGAACCCACCAATGAACCGGCAGTTAGTCGATTCAACAAAATAGGTTAGGCTGCTCCTGCCGTTTCTTTGGTCCACTGTCGTAGCCCGTAGGCTGCTCCTGCAATTGAATGAAAACAACAAAACCTCTTCCCGACAATCATCAGTGCAGACTAGTCGCGGAATTTCACTAGAAGACAAAAACCTCTACTAAACGTTGTTATTCTTCAACAAAGAGCGAAATGGTTAAATAATAGAATCGGCAGAACCACACGTCAGCAAGCGACTTTGTGAAGGACACAAGATCACTTGCTTTCCGTTGGCTAGAGATATAGAAATCCTGGGACCTGGGGCAAACAACGATCGCGATGCGCGGCAACTAGAAAACAGTAGTTCCGGTGGATTGATCAGCATAGAGACAGCTTATCGAGCCAGAATCGACATCCTGTTCGGTACACGACAGCAACCGAGCGTCTTAAAATTGTTAGAAACCGAACATAAAATTTAGGGTTACCGATCTGGTTGAGTCGCGGACTAGGTCGCTCCCTTTAAGACGTTCACGACACTGCCTCGTTATTCGCACAACAGACTATCAGCCGGTCGCCTCCAGGATAAAACAGCCACTCTTCTGATTTGCTCAGCGGTTTTGTGCAGAAAACCGTAGCTCTTTGAATCTCACTCTCTCTCATGTTTCTGCTCTCTAAGGTGTGTTTAGAGGGTCTGGGGCGTCTCCTATTTATAGGAGCAGAAAACCCAGAATATTCCCTCTTTCTTTGGGAATAAGTCATATTTTAATTAGGGAGATAATTACTCCCATAATTAAAATATAATCTATTAAGATAATTATTCCTAATTATCTCCATAATATTCCTTTTATTAATTATCCATCTTATTTCCGTATCTAGAAATAATACTGGATAATTAATTCAATATAGCTTTCAAAGCTATTCATTCCCAACAGACTGTTATTATTATTTTAGAGTACACAGGGTAAACCACCCAGTCCACTAGTCCAATGGCCAAAACCACGTTGGCTCGCGCACAAGCAAAGCAAAAGGAAGTAGAACTAGGATCTAGGAACCAGAGCCCCGTTCTTCCCTTTTTTTTCAACTAGTAATCAGCCCGCGCTCCACGGCGGAATAAGTTTGACTTTAGTAATTTATGGATTATGAAACATTTTTTTATGTATATAATCTGAAAGTAGTTGGGATAGTTGTTTCACTGAGCAATGTAATTACAACATTGTTGGATAGAGCCTGTTCTAGGGCATTATTGAGCTTAGGCCGCGCTTTGCCTTGGGAATTGTCAATTTATGTCATCAGTGTACATGGGGACGTAGAATTGTGTGATCTGGCAGCCTAAGCCAAGCATCATTGTTGCTAAACCAAGAACGATAGCATAGAAGATTCATTATAGCAAAGTGCACGAAAATGTATTGGGATTTAGTTTGTCAATGCAAAGACTGGAAAGGTAATGATTATACACTTGTGATTGATATTTGCAAGCTTGGTATACATGTGTGATTGATATTTGCAAGCTTTGTATACATTTCAAGCCACATGTTCAATTTCTCCGGGATTTAGAATAAATCGGCAAAACTGGAAAGGTAATGATTATACACTTGTGATTGATATTTGCAAGCTTGGTATACATTCGTTGTTATCAATTTTAAGCCACAGAATTTCTGTAAAATTGTGACGTATAGTTGCACTGAGTTCCCTTGCACGCCTGAAGGTGGACAAAAAAAAACTTGTAAGAGCAGTATGATGAGAAATTTAATTAGCCTGAATAGACGTATTAGTACAGAAGTGAAGTTGGTATGGGAAGAGTACATTCCGATGGATAACATATGAGCACAATTTTGGTAGAGACAAAAATACATGTACAATTGTTCGAAGTCTAACGATTTCAAGCTTTCTAACTGAAGAACTTATGATACAAACATAATTCAAATCAAATATTGGAAAGTCTAGAAATGGATCCGTGTACAGAAATACACAAATGCAAACCTCATTATGAAACTGCAAGGTATCAAAAAATATATGATTCAAAATCAACAATAGAATAAAAGAAATCGGTCTAATGACATCCAAACACCATATTAACTTAAATAAAGCTTAAATGAGACCAATAAAGGGCCAGAAACTCAAATGATACTCATTAGAAGTTTCTTACGAAACTCAAATAAAAGAAATCAGTATAATCATTACCTTTCTAGTCATTCCCTAGTAAACAGTGTCATAGAAACGATGAGCATAGAAGAATCTGTCAATACTGCACAACATAGCCGAACAGTTCCATGTGCTTGCTTGCATTGTGCCATACCTGAAATCAAGTGCCTAAGCATTAAATCCTCTACACACGTATTGTCAAATAAAATAACTCAATCAAGCATATTAATAGTGGTTAATGTAAAATTTTTGAATGAATTGCAAGAAGCTATCAGATTCCAGGCTGCAAGATAATCTGCAGTAGATTGAGACAACAATGTCTAACTTGCTTTTGAGTTGCTCTACCTCGCTATGTATAACGATAAAGAACAGAAGAGAAATCTCTATATTGTGCAATGCAAGATGTTGCAGCCTTATGATCAGCTTGATCATTGATGGTTATGAACAACTATCAGATGCAACCAAACGAACACAAACAAAGTCATAGAAGAAAAGAGACAGGGGCTCGGCATAGAGAATTGTTTCCAGAGAAAGATAAGAAACCACAACCATAGCAGATCTTATAAGCAAAGAGGTAAGCCGGCAAAGATCCTACCCATGCTTCTGAGTTAAGATGAAAATACTGAGAAAGCACCCCAAACACTCTTTGCTTTTTTCTGCTGCTGCAGGAGGTGACAGTAGAGAGATTGCTCATTACAAATCCTTCGCCTCAATCATCATCATGTAACTGAAAAATCAAGAACACAAAAATATGGTTGATCAGATAGCCTTAAATACAGAAAAATGAAACGGAAGTATGAGAAAGGAAACTCCCTTTGAAAGACCATTGCGCCACATCAAAGAATCACCCACAATAGTTCATGAGTGTCTTGCACTGCAAAACTTCACCCACAACAAATCCATACACACAACATCAGAATGGAAAGCCCAAAAGCTGGAATCTTCTTCCACTGCAAGCATGACCAAATGCATACAAAAACTAAATTAAAAACCAATGATAAAAGAAGATATAAAAAACAAAAAAGCAATGTATTAGATTGCCAAGAAGAGAACACCATTGTCCATTGCAAGAACATTACCTTGCCAAAATCTGCCCGATCTCTCTTATCTGATGCATATCTCGGGTTCATCTCTTCCTCGCAGAGGGGGAAGGCAATGAGTAAACCTGCAAGAATTATCAAACACACAACGAACCCATTTCAGAGAGAGGAAAAACAAATTCATCGGAAGCAAAGGAACAATTTTCGATAACGAATATTAGAAGCGACCAACTGGAGCTTTCCGTATCCTCTCCCGACCCCTCGAATCCGTCTCTTAATCCTTTACAGCTCTGCTCATCTCCCAGGAAGAGAGATCAGAGAAACCCACTCATGAAGAGAAATTAAAGGGAGAGAGTCGGAGGAGGTAATGTGCTCCTCGCCATGCCTGAGAAGCGAAGAAGGAGAGGAGGAAGACATGATTACTTTTTGAAAGGGGAAGAAATATCGTAGACCAGTAATTAGAAAAGTTGCAACAAAAGATGGCATAAATATGGCGGAAGAGAAAGAGGAAGCAAACCCACCAAATCTTCACAGTACACTCTCTGCGTCCAGAAGAGCCTCGTGTTCGCCCCGCAGAGTCGAATTCGTCGGAGAAGATGTATCAATTTTATGGGCGAACTTGACCCACCGCCTTTCCTCCGACGTCGGCATCACTCCAGTAGTCATCTCCTTTCTCCTTTGCTGCTGCCTACCCTCAAATCCCGCCTCAAATCTAGCCTTCCCGCTCCTTATCACAGTTGTCGCCTCACTGGAGAGGTTCCTCATGAATCAAAGAATTCAACGATAACACAACTGACTTGTAACACCACCATCCCAGCTAACTTCAGCCTTCTAAACTTCAACTGCTGATGGTGCAACAGCGACGGTTGTCTTGCTGGTGTTCGAGCCCGCTTTCGCGCTCATCTTTATTGGCTTCCTAGACGTTGCAGGCGATGAGCTTTTCGCCAGCCTGCCTTGCCTGGCTGCCTCGGCATTTCCAGATTCTCCCCCTGTATACAAATGTAGCAGCCAGGATGAGGAACGGAGAACTCATAGGGGGAGAGGGAGGAAGGGAGGGATAGGGGGGAGTGAACCTTTATTAGGAAGAGACAACCTCTTCTTCATGGGTTTATCAGGTTGAGCGGCTCTCTCTTTCGGGTTGCTGTGAGATCTCTGGGCGATGCCACCGGGCTGAGAGCTGGCTTCTTCGGTTATTAGCCCGGCAACTTGCTTGGGCTTAGGCTTCGGCTTAGTGAAATGTGAGTTGGATGGAGCCTCGAGTAAGCCTGCTGGTTTGCTTGTAGGTGGAGAGCTGCTGCCATTGGAATGAGAAGGACCAGTTTTCTGAGTTGAAATGTTTGCCTGTGCAGCTGGCTTCTTGCCTGTAGGTTTCGGCTGAGGTTTGGATCCATTTTTGTCGTCCTCTTCATTCTCGTGGATCATCACTCCGTCCTTAAGATTAATGTCGAGAAACCGATTCTCCCATGGACGGACAACCATCCATCTCTCCAGCCAGTTCCAACCCCAACTGCTCTTGTTTGGAACAAACCCGGAGGGGATAGCCTGCTGTCTGGAACCCGCCTGCCACTGTGAAAAAACATATTCAGCTCAAGAGATCAGACAAAAGAGAGCAAATCCCTTAAAGCAAATACAACCAATTACAAATTGAGAAATCACAGAGACCCACCCGATTACAAAAGATCGAGAAATCACAGCAAACAAACTAATCATAGAGAGACTAATGAATTTGTTTCCCTCACCGTCGCCGAGACTTCTCTCGACTTCAACCAATTCTCCACCGATCTCCCTAACGCCGCCTCCTTGCTCCACCGTCTTCTCCCCAAACTCTCTCCCGCCAAATCGGAGCCTGAAAACGATGGCGCAACCGTGTCCCCGCTTCTCGCCGTCAAGATCACTCTGTTCCCCAACTCTAGCGTCTGCATCGGGTTCAAATTTCTCCACGTGGAAGCCGACGGGGATGGGGACGGTGACGTCGTACCTGGACCAGTCGAAGAGGTTGTTGAGGCGACAGATAACGCTGGTGGTTGATGAGGTCGGTGGAGAGGTCTTCCAGCTTCTTCCCGGAGATGACGACGCCGAAGACTTCCAGCTCCCGGTGGATGGATCTTGAGTTTTTGCCGACCAGGCCCAGCTGCCGCCACTGGTCCATGTTGCGCAGTAGCTGGGCACACCATGAAGAAAGCCTGCTTGAGAATGAACAGAAGATCCATTCCATGGAGTTCTCCCTGGTTGAGCACCAAAAACAGACGGAACGGGAGCACCGGCACTGCAAAAGAGAGAGAACACAAAAGTCATTAGAAAGAGAGAGGAAAATGCGAAATGCAAATTGGAAGGAGAAAGAAGAAGAGGATATCTGCAGTGCGGCAGTATTCATCTCGAGACCACCACCACAAAGTAACTCTCCCCTATTGTCTCAGCAGGGTCAGGCCAATTCATCTCTGATTTCAGTCTCAATCGGGTGGTAAAAAGAGACATCTCAAGGAGAGATGGGAAGGAGATCAGCGAAAAGTGGCCTGCATTTGTGGGCAATGCGATTTTCATCGCAAACAACGCCGCCCGAGAGAGCTCCCATGTGGAACCAAAAAGTTTTGATTTGACGGCGGCTCGGTACCCACAACAAATACCTGCAGCAAACAAAGCAGGATAAACAGCGGCGGGCCCAACTGCAGACCAGGAACCAATCAGAGGAGGGTGAACAGTAATTTTGAGTCTAAATGAATAGTAATTTTGTCTCTAGGCGAACAGTAACCGTGTCTTTGCAAATAACTTATTTCAATTTTCATCACAACGGTCAAAAGTCTCAATTTCACGACGGGTCGAGTCAATTTTCTCTGTATTGGACACGGATGTGCATGTTGAATGATGAGATGTCATCCTAGAATGTGGTCTAAAATACATGAAAAGGGTTAAATATGGCACACTTCTACTATGTTTGGCAACAAGGGATGCAAATTCGAGGGTACAACTTTGAGTGGTAAATTGCAGTAGAGTGCAAGTTGAAGGAGGGTACAGGTGGAGGGGTAAATTGTTGTTTGGATGAAAAATAGGGGGTGCAAATAGAGTGAGAAGTGAGTAATTATATTATTATAAAATAGATTTATCAAAATTATAAATTATTATCAGAAAATAATAAAATATTTATAATTTATTAAAATATTTATTATATAATAATGATCAAATCATATATATTATATAATAACATAAATAACAACTGTAATAATTATTGATCGAGCAATCTCTTAGCTCGGAGCCCAACTCGTAACTTGTCATCCTACATAGTTCTCGTGTATTATTTAACTTTAAATTGATTATGGTTAAACTTAGTCAAACCCATTCGAATCTATAAGTTTTAACTTTATAATCAACTAAACTAAGTCAACCAAATCGTTCCTCACTACCTTTTCAATAAGCACTTCTTATCTCTAATTTCCAACGCAAATTCGAGTCAACCAAGAGATCTTGATTTGACTAGACGAACATTGATAAACTTGCTCTCGTAGTCAAATGGTCAACCCTGAACATATCTACATAAGAAAAGTAATTGATAATATTAATTAAAAATTATTAGAAAAATAATTTCTTCCCTCTCCCTTCCCCCTTCTTCCTTTCTTCTCTTGCACCCCAATTCGGGGGTAAGCCGAAATAGTAATTCTGCACCCCCGTTTTGCACCCCCTACTATTACAAATTATCCAAACGGGTGTAAATGTGTTGGAAACTGTGTTTACTAGGGCTGGGAAACGGTGTGGTCTGGTCCAGACCAGACCATATATACGGTCTATGGTCCAGACCGAGAGGCTAAAGTATAGACCACAGACCAGACCACAGACTATACGGTCCGGTCCAGACCACACATGTGTGTTCTGGTTCGGTCTGGTCTAGTCCAGATAGACCACACTCAACGAAAAATGAATAATTTGTTTAGTCAACCACACAAATAATTGAACCAATAACCAAGAAAAATAATTGTTATTTGCCTTAAAACATTAATCCTAACATGCATGAATAATTTTGATACTCTAAATCTTAGTACACAACAAAGATACAAAGTAAAAACATCTCAGCTTGTACCATAACGTCATAATTATTAACATAATGTCATATGGAGACACTATTATCTCTACTCTCTAGTTAAATGTGGTTGTGAATGTAGGAGGGAAGAGATTCACAAAATTAAGGTTGAGACTTGGGTGTCGTTGTGGGAGTTTGGAGAGTGGTCGAATGGGATGTTAACACGTATTGACAAGTCAGTTGGGTCCACGGTTTGGTCCGGTAAACCGCGGTCTAGACCAGACCAGACCAGACCAAGAGATCAAATCATAAAATAATACAGACCATGGACCAGACCATACTTCACGGTCTACGGTCCGGACCAAACTGTGCGGTACGGTTAGGACCACGGTTTTTCTAACGGTCTGGTCTATTTTCCCAGCCCTAGTGTTTACCCCTCCCATTTACACCTCTTCCTAAACATAGTATTCATGATTTGGTTGCTTTTTTACAATAAAACTAGCTTATTACCCGGCCCGTTGGCCGGATTACTGTATGTTACCCACTTGTGGAATGGGAGAGAAAGCAAGTGAGAGTGAAGGGATTGGGATTCCACTTGATTAGGACCGGCCCACTAATCCGATTCTTCCCGACCCGCCCCAACCTAAAGGGTCAGAAAGAGCCAATAAGAAAATACGAACGGAGAGAATTAGTAATATATCTTGACTCTTCAGAAGTGGGTCAAACAGGATAAAGGTTGGGTGAGGGCAATTTTTAGCGCTAAGCAGAGTTCTGGGTTGAATAACTTTACTTAGGCCTAGAAATTGGTGCTGATGCAGACTGCAGTTTTTATCATACCATCATCAATCATCATTGAATTAGTCCTGGGCATCCCTCCCCGTTGTCGGTCTGAATTTTAATGATGGCTTCATTCCTTGCACTAGCCATATCAGCGAGTTGTCATCTCGAGCATGATTTGCCTATGTACAAATGATACAATTAGAGTATGAAACTGAATTCAAAGAAAAGGAAAAGAGAATTCTATCACATGCCAATAAATACACACATAATAGTTGAAGCTAAGTGAAAGTCATTACTCGCACATCAATTCTAAAAAATTACAGACTAAACAATGGCTAGAATGGCACTGAAACTACCAAGAATCATGGACGAAACAACTTGTCAAATTAAATAATCCTTATACTGAAACTACCTTCTAACTTGAAATAAGACATGATCACAGTTCATAGCACTCTTATCACTATGAATTGGTTGCAGCTCGTCCTTATCACTACCTCCCAAGCTCAATTCAAACAGAATAGACACAGTTATGTAAGATAACCATATCCTTACTGATCATAATTCCTTTCTTCACTCCATTTTTGTCGGAGAAAAGAGTTATCCCCCTCTCATGCATTTCCCTTTCCCCCTCTCTTCTCCCTATTCTTCACAAACCGATCCCTAAACCAGCAACAACAACACAAAACAGCCTTCACCTCTGCCATCTCCATCTACTAAACGCGTTGGTGGCAAGACAGGATTGCAGAAGCAAAATTTTCTAAAATCAAACTAAATTTTTTGAAGGAGACTCAACCACGAAAAAAGAGTAAAGCAACAATGCTAATAGTTCAGATGGTTGGTTTTGATGTTATACGTTGCTTTTGTTATGGTCTCCAGTGTATCAACTGCAACAGAGATGTTTCCTCCAATCATCTTTAGTGCATGATTTAGAAGTAAGTCCTCTTGTTTGTGTCAAACGGAAACATTCATGGGTTCT